GCATAAAGAGTATTGAAAGATGGTGAATTTATAACACCACCAGCCTGAACCGAGAAAGACACTATGTTTCCTCTAAGCTGAGTTAGTGTGAGCCAGCTCACACTTTTCCAGCCTCCAGCTCACACATTTTTGTCTTAGCTCAGGAAGGATGACTCTCGAGCAAACTAATTTATGCAGGAGCCAAATTGCTCGCTCACATCTTTAATGCTAGTAGCTCACAAAGTAGAATTTTTGCTCACAAGACCCTACAGCTTAGAGGGAGCATTGGACAGCATCCAACCAGAATGAAAGTGATGCTGCTGCAGGTTAGGTCATTCTCCTAAATTGCTCTCCACCCTTAATTTACACCTTTCCAAGTTGAATGGAAGAGCACTGAAAAGCAGGACCATTTCACAGAAAGCCAATCAAGGCTAACTCTGGGTTTATCGGTACAAGGGAACTGCAGGGAAGACAGAGATCATAATCAAATCCAGCTATTTCTCCTTCCACTAATGCTTTCTTACTAAATAGTTAACATCTTTGCCACCAACCTGGTAAATTTCCTTATGTGATGAGTAGCTGAAAGGCACTTTAAGTGGCAGGTGAGCCCTATTGACAGCCAGTGTGGTTTAGTGGTTAGAGTGTCTGACTAGGATCTGGGAGACCCAGGTTCAAATCCCCACTCTGTATGGAAACTCACTGGGTGACCTTGACTGTCACACATACTCAGCCTAACCTATCTCACAAGGCTGTTGTCACAATAAAAAAGAAGATAGGAGAACTATGTAAGCTACTTTGAGTCCCCTTTGGGGAGAAAGTCAGGGTATAAATGAGGTAAATAAAAATAGGTGTGGTAAAGCCAAACCAACAGAAGGAGGGGGCTCATATGGAGGAGCAATAAGCCCCTATTTGATACTCCCATTGGTTGAAGAGCAAAGGAGAAGAGAGGGAAGAAAGGAAAAAAGCTTAAGAGATCTTCAGGCTCTGTTGGAGCTAGACGACGTAGATGTGAAAAATCCCGTCACTGCAGCAACAAGAATCTACTTCCTGATCCTCTTTGGGTGGTTTTAGAGAGCTCCAAATCCCACTTTCTAGTATTAAGAACCAGGATCCGAGCAAACAGGTCTGAAAAGTCCCATCAAACTTCCAACAGCTCTTCCTTGCTATGAAAAGAAATAAATTAGGGGACGCATTCAAATGAAGAATTGTGTTTGAACACAGTTATATAAAATAAGAACTGGCTGTTTGTTTTTTGCCATGATCTTCTTTATTTAAATTTTTAATTTCTGTTAATGGTGATTGTGTGGAATGTATATATATGTGCAATCCTTATGGTCTGCCAAGGGACACTGCTTTGCATTTTGGGACATTCCCTACAAATCATTTTTATTTATTTAAACATTTATCTCAAGCCTTTCCTCTTTGTTCAAGGCAGCTTACAAATAATTAAAACATCCCCAGCTAAAACCAAAGCCACAAATCCCTCTCCCCTCCCCATAACAACCAATCAACCTTACTCTAATGCAGGGATTCCCAACCCCTTTCAGCCTGTGGGATCCTGACACAGGGTGGTGGATGCAACCACAAAATGGCTGCCACAAGAGGGGGAGCAAACCACAAAATGGCTGCCACAGGAGGCATAGCCGTATAGAGGAAGCCTAAATTCTGGGGAAAATAGGTGATTTTTAAAAAACACACTGGAAAAGAGGAGTGAGACACAACAAAACTAACTCTGTGGTAGCAGCTGCAACTGGAAAAAAAATGTTACTTTACTTTGCCCAGCAATTTGGATCACCAGTGGTCAGTCAGAAGCCCTGCTAACTGAATGCCCAATCCATTTATAAAGAAACACTTGGTAGGTGTCAGGAAAGGTATTGCTGGGCACCATGGCATCTACAGGCTCTACAATCCCTGCTCTAATGCAGTGGTACTCTCTCTGTGGCACACTGAGAGCCACTTTAGAAGTTACCATCAACTTGAAGAGCTGTAGGACTACTCTATGCCCTGTGTATGACTACTATATTCCCCATGAGCCATCCTAACACCCACACAATAAGCTACAACTATTAATACAGAATATATAACTAAACCTTTCTAATTAGCAGAGTACCTCTGAGCATGCAGGGATGTCTCTCCCCACCACTGTTGAACCACAGTCAGAGACCTGTGTATGTGGAATAAGGGGAGGAGTTTCCCTCTCTGTTGTCTTGCTTTGGGTTCTTTACTCCTGTCCTTGGCAACATAGGGCAAGCAGCTTACCCATCTTCCAGTCCCTGTGGCAGCAGCTGTTTCAAAACAGGAACCACCTGTCAACCACAAACCCCATGGGGCAATGACTTTACTTACTTTCCTGGAACATGGGGAAGGTGCCACACATTGGGGGACAGTGCACAGAAGAGCCACAGCTGGCATGTCAAAGAAAGCTTTGTGGCTCTTTTAGAGCCTCCAGCTGCTGCATTATTTCTTCCTTGATTTCTTGTATCTGATCTAGCAAGTTATCTGTTGTGTACTTTGGGTTAAGAACATAAGAGATGCCAATGTTGGATCAGGCCAAAGGCCCATCCAGTCCAACACTCTGTATCACACAGTGGCCAGAAATACCAGTGCCATCAGGAGGTCCACCTGTGGGGCCAGGACATTAGAAGCCCTCCCACTGTTGACCCCCCCCCCAAGCACCAAGATGACAGAGCATCACTTGCCCTAGAGTCCCTATCTATACCTTGTAGCTAAGTCAACGTTTTCTCTTTCTCTCCGTCTGGCCCTTCCTAAGGATTTTCCATGAGGAGTTTCCTGAGTTTCTTTAGCTTTGGTCGACATCTTCTTACTTCCCAATAATTGTTGGAGAGGCCTGCAATCTGCTTGTAAATGACAGATGGAGGCTTGCCTGCACAGAGCTGCTCGGGAGTTTCAGAGGTAGGTATAAAAAGCAACATTTTGCAGGTATCTGCTATTTTCATGTCTGTAGTGTCAGCTGACCGCCACCGGAGGTCAGCGCACACACCTGAGCTTCAGCATCGGACCACAATGGGGACTAGGATTCTAGTCCCTCCACAGGGGGGACCAATGGGACCATGGCGGGAAATTCAAACCCGCCAATGGGACCAGGGGGGCCCCCCTGGCCGTGTATATAGTTGGCCCGCCGGCCGTTTGTTGGCAGTCTTGTTGTGTACCTAATAAAGCGTGCTATGCACTACGTCGTTGTCTGTCGTCCATCCATGCGGCAACCCACTACACAATAATGTCGTAGGTCTTATCCTTGCTGCACAGCACGTTCATCTTTATCTCCACGGATTACGAGGCTTCGCCCCACCTCCAACTCAGCGCAAAGCTCCGGCTCCAGCTGCAGGAGGCAGCAAAGCGTCCCCGAAGGGATGACAACTACGCTAGACCAGTTAAAGGGTTTGGCTTTTGTGGATCGATCCTCCAGACCGGAGACGATCTTCTTGCTAAATGTCGAAGACTTGCCTGAGGAGAGCCAGGAGAGATTTAACAGCTTATTTCCGAGACTTGGCATTTGTGCCGTAGCTCTGCATATCTTCTCTTCATTCATTTCAAAGAAAACCTCACCTTCGTCAATGGTTTGTCTTCCCTAACTCCTAAGAATGTGCCCTATCATTCTCCTGAATGGTGAAGCTGATATAGCTCCATACATACAGGACTTGTGTTCAGCGAAGCAAACGATGGGTGCATTGCCGACAAAATACGCTCGCTCTTCAACACAGAACGGAATTAAAGTTTATAATTCTAGGAGGCTCCCGCACCACTGAGTGTCACTACTCTAATGCCTTCCCGTGGTCATTCAGAAGTGCCATGAATTCCTGTCACCATACCTAAAGAGTCAATGAATTCCATTCTGTGACCAAGATTCCCTCATCTGGTCTGCAGGCATCTTTCATGTTGTGACTGGTGACCACTAGTAATCCTCCTGTCTGTCTCTCTCCATTGCCTTGTCCCTGATGCTTGTCACCAGTGTTCCCTCTAAGCTGAGTTAGTGCGAGCTAGCTCACAGTTTTTTAGCCTCTGGCTCACACATTTTTGTCTTAGCTCAGGAAGGAATGGCTCCAGAGCAAACTAATTTATGCAGTAGCCAAATTGCTCGCTCACAACTTTAATTCCAGTAGCTCGCAAAGTAGAATTTTTGCTCACAAGACTCCACAGCTTAGAGGGAGGGTTGCTTGTCACCCCACCTGTCTCTACAATCTGCCCTATATACCTCTATCAATGAATCGCTGGTGCTCCTGTAATATGCTTCACATATTTTCCTTTCAAAACATTCGAAACTATGTGACATACTCTGCAGGTCAGGTCCTGCTTTTGGGAGGGGGGAAGCAAATCCCTCCTCTCACCGGAACAGCGGAACAGGGTTAGCAATTCCCTCTGTGGACGGCTGAGCGGGGGCAGCGCGGCTAACCCTCGTGTCCCAACCTTGTCTCCTCCGATTAGCGCAACCAGAAGGGGCCGCCTCGGGACAAAGGGCGCCTCAGTGGGCCTCCTCGCCCAGCTGACAGTCCCAAGACGTCACCATCTGACCGGGGAAGGGGAGATTGCCATGGCAAAGCGGCGCGATAAATACCAGATGGCTCCCCCAGAAGCTGCCCAGGACCAGCCCCGGCGCTGTAACCACAGCCTCGCTTGCAAGTCTCCCCGCGCGGGGGGCAGGGGGGAGAGGCGCGTCAGGGGGCTTCTTCCCAACACCCCTAGTCCGGGTCACCTTCCCGCCACCGCGGATCAGCAGCTTCTTGCACAGCGGCAGGTGGTGTCTCGGCCTTTGCCGCACACAGCGCACTCTCCAGCGTGCACCGTGTGCTCTAGCGAGGTTCCCTTTGCACAGACAGACGGCTTCCACCGGCCCACAGTTTTGCAAACGCGCCTATTCTTTCAGCAATCGATGCCGCGATATCTATGCACGTTCTGGACAGACCAGATCCGACGAAGCCAACCAGACGAAATCTAGCCTTTCCCCGTAAGAGCTGCCTGGACTTCGCGCTCCTTCCTCCGCAGCTCATTGCACGTGCTCGGCAATGGAGAGCCAGCTGGATTCGCAGTGCTTCCAGAACGGGGACTTGCATCCCCGCCGCCTCAAGGACTTGGGCGAGCCGCCCAGCGGCGAACTGCGGAAGCCCGCGAAGCATCACCCTCCCTTGGCCAAGTGCAACCGCGAGCGAGAAGGCCGCGACGAAGACGAGGAGGAATTGCCGGCTCTGGAGGCTGCCTACGCGGCCATCCTGCAAGGCCTGGGCGAGAACCCGGAGAGGCAAGGGCTGCAGCTGACGCCCCGCAGGGCCGCCAAGGCCATGCAGTTCCTCACCAGAGGCTATCGCCAGACCGTCGCAGGTTAGTCCACTTCTGTGAGCTTTCAAAAACCAACAAGGAGGCGCAGTCCAGGCCTGGCCAAATCAAGCCCCTTGAAATACATGCTGAAAACGCTCCAGTCAGAAGCCCGTGAGATTTTGAAATGCCTTAGGTGATTATTCATAGAGGGCTGATTTGTGACTATTTCGAGTTATACTTCTAAAACTGTTGCTATCCAAAGCCTGTAATATTCTGTTAGGCATATAAACCCACCTGCTAGCACAGGCTGACAAATTATTTCCCAATAGGCACGGTCTACTCCAGTGCTCCCTCTAAGCTGTGGAGTCTTGTGAGCAAAAATTCTACTTTGTGAGCTCCTGGCATTAAAGTTGTGAGTGAGCGATTTGGCTACTGCATAAATGACTTTGCTCCGGAGCCATCCTTCCTGAGCAAAGACAAAAATGTGTGAGCTGGAGGCAAAAAAACTGTGAGCTAGCTCACACTAACTCAGCTTAGAGGGAACACTGGTCTACTCTCTATTGCTCCTGCCAACCTAGCAGTTCGAAAGCAAGAAATTGCAAGTGGATAAATAAGTACCACTTCGGTGGGAAGGTAACAGCGTTCCGTGCACCTTGGTGTTTAGACATGCCAGCCACATGACCACGGAAACGTCTTCGGACAGCGAAGGCTCTTCGGCTTTGAAACGGAGATGAGCACCGCAACCCTAGAGTCGGACTCGACTGGCTTTCGAGCAAGGGAACCTTTACCTTTACCTTTTACTCTCTATTGAAGACTTGGCCCCCCCATGCAAGGCTTAGCTTGTTCTCTGTGGCAACTCTGGCTTCTCTTATGAGGTAAAATTCACACCCCAGGTTTTGACTAACAGGTCTATGTCCCATTTTCAAACTTTTAAAACATGCTTAGAGGATTGTGTCCTCTATGTGTGCCAACCTTTATCATTTTGTTGCACAGGCTTCTTACTCTCATTGTTAGGGAGAGGAGCCCAAAGGCTTCCTTTTCAGTGTTAATAGTAAGCATGTCTTGGACTGGACATCAAACATTTTTTATTCCAGTCAGGTGGGTGAGTGGATGAGTTTCTGAATCAGCCACTGACTGCACCCCTCAATTTAAGGTCACAAAAGGAGCAGTTGGCAAAGTTCTAGGAAGGGGAGGATGAAAAGTGCTGAAGAAGAGGAGGTAATAGCTGGGGCAGAGACAGAACAATAGTTATAGCCAATGAAATGGCATAAGACCCAATGACTGGATCTCTCTCTTTTTTAAAATTATTTTTTTGTTAAATTATTTTTTTTAAAAAAAATTTAAAGCCCAGGGAGGGGATTTTTGGACAGGGTCCACAATGGAGTAGAGTGAGTTTAAACATTCCCCTGTTTTCTTAGAGCAACTCACCCTGTGAGGTTGCTGTTCGTCAGATGGATGAACGCTGAAAGCTCCAGAACCCTGTGACTGGGATCAGAGGCTTGGAATAGGCAGGATTTGGAAAGGATGAAGGGAGGCTGCTGCAACTAGTTCAGTTTACAGAATAGGAGAAGTGAGAGAAGAGACTTCCACAGGAGAGGGGAAGATGGTGAGGGAAGGAACCAGGTTTTGGCAAGGGATTGTGAGAGCAGGTAACTGCTGTCTTCCTGAGGAAAATTAGTTTGTACTATTCAGGGGACCTCTAGCTGATGGAGCCTTATGACAGGTGTCACTGGCAATGCTCCCTCTAAGCTGTGGAGTCTTGTGAGCAAAAATTCTACTTTGTGAGCTGCTGGCATAAAAATTGTGAGCGAGCGATTTGGCTGCTGCATAAATTAGTTTGCTCTGGAGCCGTCCTTCCTGAATGGAGACAAAAACGTTTGAGCCGGAGGCTAAAAAACTGTGAGCTAGCTCACACTAACTCAGCTTAGAGGGAACACTGGTCACTGGTACCAGGACAGAACTCCGTATGAAAGTGACATAACAAGCCATTTTAAAGGACAGCACTTTTGCTCCATTCTGATAATACATAATTTAAGCTACTGTTTTTTAAAGTTCTCAACAAAGTTTTTCCTCTACTATCTCTTGTATCAGTGCAATTCTATAGAATCTCAAAAACTTGGCTTTCTTTCCACTAGAAGTAATGCAGGCAAGTAAAACCATGTTAACTACTTTATTTTTCCTTATTCTTTAGGGCTAATCCTGTAGCAACAGAATATAAATTCTTCTGACAATGTCATTCCACTAGCTCATTCATTTCTACTTATAATTAGTCTTTTGTTTCTTTTATTGAATTGATGCCCAGAAGCACATTGACCAGAAATCCTTTCAAATTATTGTCTTGTTCCAGGGTTGCTGGATTATTTCTATAATGTGTTCACTCAGCAGCAGTTGGTAAACACATTTTTAAATGAAAGATGAGGGCTTAAACCTCTTGAAAATGTACTTCTATATAGTATGTTCTACATAATTGTGCTCTTATAATGCAGATATAATCCTAATTTCCAGGTCTTGTTTTGAGTGTGTGACCAAGGAACATGAAATGAGAAGATATGAGCCCCCCCCCCCCAGGTATTCTAGTTAAAATTGGAATACTCCTGTCTGGAACAGTCCCTGTCCCTGAACAAGCATGCCAGCATGGTTCTTAAAATTTGCAGTTAAGAATGTAAGGATTTCCTTAGCTGCCTACAGTTATGTGGTCCCTAGAAATTCTAAACGTTTTTCCAAGCTTGACTAGAACCTTTTCTGTCTAGTCCTTTCTTACCTTTCCTACCCTAAGTAGCTTGTGTCTGTTGTTGGTTATTCTGTAGTCAAGGACAGAATTTAATGAAGAAAGTTCATTTTCCTCTTCCATAAATAGCCTCCTTTTTCCAGATATACTCAATGATGCAGTTTTTGATGAGGACCATGATGAGATGGTGATCGTGAAGGACATTGATATGTTCTCCCTTTGTGAACATCACTTGGTGCCTTTCTTTGGCAAGGTATTGTTCTTTTGACATATGTTATGGTCAACTCCTGTTGGCTGGGGGAGGGGGAAAGGGTCTGGCTTCTTTCTTACCAACTGCTTAAAGCTGGAGTTCACCCCTGTTACAGATCTCACCCCCTCAGGCACACAACTCACTCTCTTTCACCAGCTGCTGCTAGGTTTGGTGCTCAAGCTAAGGCACTACGAAGGTGTAATTCATAGGAGAAAAGTGTGTCCAATTTGGGCTCCTCCCATCAAATGTAGATTAGAACAGAGGTAGTGGCCACTATCGCCGAAGGAATCCCAGTAAGGGGGGATTTACCAACATTAATCTGGAAGAGATGGTATTGGGTCCATCTCAGCTAGGTGTGTGTATGCATGAGAGAGGAGGTTGAGCTAATGCTTCCCAGTTTCATATTCCCCCTTGCTTTGTGGGTTTCTCTCAACTTGGGATGGAGCTGTCCTTCCAGGACTATCAAGGCTTGTGCATGTTTTCTGAGCTGCACTGGAGTCATTCATGCAAAAGAATCCCCTCCCCCTCCCCCTGAGCATTAAACTGTTTGGCCTCTTAAAAAAAGGCTTTATTCTACTACGTCTAATTTAAGCAGGAAGCACAGATAGGAAGTATTCACAGGACAATACACCAAGACTGGCTAGTCAAAGAAACAAGCATAAACCACTGCTAGGTAGAGTGAACACTGCAGATCATCTTTCCTCCTCCTTTTTTGAGGGATGGGTGAGTCAACGTCCCCTGTGAAGGAGCTCACCAAGGCTCATTCTTGTCCAAGATTCTGGAACTGCACACATTTCAAAGACTAGATAAAGGGGCATCCTGCCTGGCACCCCTATTTCTGAGATTGTGGTGGGATCCCTCTCTTTTTGTTGACCAATAACTACTGAGTTGCTCACTCTTCATTTCCTGCCACAACCCACTTCATTAACAATATTCCCAATTATGGATCAGAAGACCTGGTGATGGGCATACTGGCTCTTTGGCATCTTACAGGAGAACCCCAGAGCTTCTATCAGAGGAAGGTAACAGCTTAGTGGATGCTCCACTGCCTGCCTAGAGACGTTCTCAACTCATCCATCACTCTACCCCTTTTAGTGCAGCTGGGGATCTCATACGCAGAAACTCATCCAGGGAGAATCTGTTCACCTAGGCTAAAGTTCTGGTGGGCCTCTTCTCTGCTACATGGCGGATTCCCTCCTACTGGGAAGTTGGCCTTGAGGCTTCTGATGGGAGGGTGTCCACTGGGTGAGGTCTGCTTTAAACCAGCCAATTTACTCCCTACTGAATTCTAATAATTCTTTGGCCAATTTACCTTGTTTCTGCAGGTGGGACTGAAGTAAGCAGCAAACTGAAATGCACCCTAACTGGATTGTGGCTAATTACAGATTTACCAAAAGAAATGATGGCCTCTTTCTTTTTGAGGGGCTAACTTTCACTTCTCATGTGGGCAGAATCCTGAGAGAAGCCATTAGCCTACATTGGAGTCTGAGTTGTATAAGACCTCAAGCTAGAATCCTAAAATGCTTTAGGAAAAGCGATTTTTAAAATAGTATCCTTGCTCTTAGCAATCACTGTAGACCTCCTGTGATAACCCAAACCCATGATGCATTGCAACATCGAAACTGTTGCAAATCCAAAAGTCCATTTGAAACAAATTTAACTGTCTGTTAGCAAATCTCTTTCAGAACTACTGTTTTTGCTTGCTAGAATGATATTTAGTTCTTCCGCTTTTGCTTTGCCCCAGTTCCCTCTTTTGCTACTTCCCCTCAGTTTCTCGTAGTCCTATAACTTTTTTGCTGAAACTCTTTCTTTCTGTTCCAGGCTTCTCTGTGTGCTGCTTATGCCATGAAAAATATCCATATTCATTGGAAGTCCACTTCAAACAACATTTTGTTGTGTGCATCAAATTTCTTTTTCTATCTTTTTATGCTTTTTGTAAATACAGTTATGGCTCCATCATTCAGAGATTTTCCTTGCATATCACAAATGCTGGTTATTCCTGGTGGTATCAGATGGGTCACTCACTGTGCAAACTGCTCTACAGAAGAACTTTCAGTATTGCCTCCAAAGTAGCATATTTTATATCCGCAAGTTGGTCTCAGTTGGAGACCCATATGGTAAAAAAACCCTGCAAAACTAATCAAGTGTGGAGTCATTGGATCATATTTCTTCAGTGAGGGGATCATTTGATTAGCTTTGGAGAGACGAAAGTGGAACCAGGTCTTACGAATGTGGTAGGCATGACTTTTGAAATCCATCTGATGAGTGTTGTGGGAAGCCTGTTTTCACAACATGACTAGCAAGTTTTTGCTACATGGGCAGTCGTCTGGATCCAGTGTTGTATTCTTACACAAATATTTCCCCATTGTCCTGTCATATCCACAGGTGCACATTGGATACTTACCAAGGAAGAAGGTGGTTGGCTTAAGCAAACTTGCAAGGTTAGTACACTCACAGATACCACTGGACATTAATGAATTAATTTATAAAATGAGCAGTTAAGGCGCCTCTGGGGACACAGACTCATCTTTTCCCTGAGATGTGACTACTGACAGTGGAATTGATTGCATTAGTATCTCATGCTTCTTTCGGGGGTCAGGACATTATTGTTCTGTTTTATTTTGGTAACAACCTTGTGGTGTGGATTTAGTGCAATATGGTGGCTTGCCTAGGTCCACCTTGCAAACTTCATGGCTGGGCAGGGATTTGAGTCTGAGTTTCTGAGATGCAGCTCCATCTGTTAGAGTGTACTGTCTGCACAAAAACGTCTGTTGGGAAGAATAAGAGACAGTATGACGCTTGATCTACAGATTCATTGTACTAGAAATTTCCAGACAATGCTGTTCAGCATTACAGACCAAAATGTTAACACCATTTTTTTGAGAGATGACATTTGGTCCACTGCTGCTGGTTCTGAACCTCAGTGTGCAGGAGGGCTGGTCCAAAGAAACTGTATTACAGTTTAACAGTTTAGCAGTTGTGTTGAAAGTGAAATCATGATAGCTTGTCATGCAGTGGTTAAAAAGCTATACCTGCTAAAATTATTTTGTCCTCTACTCCTCTACTGCATCCTGCCACCTTAAATGTAAGATTTCTGGCCTGTTTGTGAGCTTTTTTCCTGCACCTCATTGTACTAATAAGAAGACTGCAGTTATTCCGGAGCAAGCCCAATGAGAACTTAAAATTGCAGACTTCAGACATAGTCAGTTACCTGTTTTACGGGGCCCGTTCCTGTAACTTTGAACAGCAGGTCACACAACACGTTCATCTGGTAAAATCTTTCCTTGCCATTAAAAGCTCTGTGTGTTTGGTTTCTGTTAGGCGGTTGTTAATGGTATAGAAACAGGACCTGTTGTGTTTTTTTTTAAATAGTGCTAACTGTTGCCACTGCGCTTATTCTAGAGTGGTCTCAGATTTCATTGAGTCCTTGAGAGATACAGGCTTGAGGATTGCAGCCAAGTGATTGCTAAGAAGAAAAGAACACTCACCATGATCATTTCCTGCATTTTTGTTTGCATTTTCTGTTCTGTTTTGCCAGGCAGCTGTTTTTCATGTTGCTGGGTTTTTGTTCTGACTACATCTATCTTTTCTCCATTCAGAATTGTTGAGATATTTAGCCGAAGGCTTCAAGGTTCGTACCCTTTTCTGCTGACGTCGCTCATCCCTGTTGAAAATTCTGAGTTTTGTAATGGATTTGTTTTGTTGCCTTAGCTGTAAACTTTCTTAAGCAGGTTGCTAGAAAAGTGGCATAAAAATGTTCTAAATAAATGTATGTTCTTTTCCTGCCCTTCCTTCAAGGAGCTCAGGGCCTCATATTTGGTTCTCTTTCTTCACACCAACCCTGTGAGGTAGGTTTTGCCGAGGGACAGTGGCTGGCCCAGGGTTACTCACTGAGTCCCGTGGCTGAATGGGGATTTCTCAGGTTGCCCAACATGCTGAACTCTATAATACTAATGCTAATGCAGTGCGACCCTAAGCAGAGTAACACCAACAGACACAAAGTGTATACTACCTAGGACTGCACTGTTACTGTCCCTCTAGGACAGTAATTCCCAAAGTGTGTACCACAGAGAGAATTGTTGGCATTAAATGCTTTGGTGAACCCAAAGTGCCCACACCAGAAGAAGGGTGCCTACTATGATCAGCGTGAGTACAGGAGGGGTGAGCAGTTTTGCAATATCTGTGTGCCAGGTACGTCATCATTCAGTTACTCCTGAATCACAGACGCAGCAGAATTCTTCATTGTCAGAGCAGGCTATCTGTGGGGATTGCTGCATGAATCATTCCTCCTACTGAGGAAAGAGTAAACCCAAAATCATGCAGTAATGGCAGTGAGTTCCATAGTTTCCAGATCCAAAAGAGAAGATGCAGCTGGAGTTGGAAGAGGGAGCACACAAGCCCAAGACTCAGACATAGAAACCAGTCCAGAGTGCTTTTGCTTAAAACTCCGTTATTTTTCCAGTCCAGGAACGACTTACCAAACAGATTGCTCTGGCAATTACTGAAGCACTGAAACCTGTTGGAGTGGCTGTGGTCATAGAAGCATCGTAAGTTTAATTATTAACATTGAAACATCCATAATGGTTGCCCATCCTAATATCTGGGGTATTCCTACTGGTTCCTTCCTGGGAGGGGTGCTTGTGATAAAGGCAATGGAGAATAGGACAAGGAGAAATCAGTTCTCAGTTGCACAACAGTCTTTCTCTGTGATTCTGATTAAATCTTTTACTATTTAAGATTGCATTCCTGAACACAGTGAACACCATAGAAAGCTATTTTACGTTTGGAATGCGAGTAATGAAAATTTGGGTGGGTGGGTGGGGTAAACACCCACTGTTTTTGCTACATTTCATAAAATCGTTCTCCTTGGGTTATTTATTTGGCTGTTATACCCTACTCATCATTAAAAGAACTACATTTGGTTCCTCCTGACTACTAACTGACATTAACACAGGGTCCACTTTTCATGGATCCTGTGTGGAAAAAATGAAGCCATAGATGAAGGAAATCTGCAGTTACCAGGAGTGGGAAGGGGAAGCTGTGAGTGATCCAGATAAAATACAATTAAGATGGACTTACCATGGGAATACATTAGAAACAGTACAAATCCCTGTTGTTTTAAGTGGTACAGTCCTATGATCTACCATGTGATTTTGTTGAACATGTAAACCTGGCAGGAAAAATAATCTCTGCCAGACATTGTATCATTTGCAATACGGCCCCTATTGTAGCATGCACAGTACTAGTATATTATGCTGACATTTTTATATTAAAAATGCTTTTTCTCATATTCTTGGCAGGCACATGTGCATGGTCATGAGGGGCGTTCAGAAAATGAACAGCAAAACTGTCACCAGTGCCATGTTTGGAGTCTTACGAGAAGATCCCAAAACCAGGGAGGAATTTCTCGCCTTGATTAAGAATTAAACAGCAACAGCTTGTGGCTCTCTGTGGGTTTGTATCCCACGCTGAAGCTAATTGCCAACACACAGTTGCCTTATGTGAGCCAGGTTTTCAGAATCTGTGCAGTTTAAACAAGCAAAAAACCCAAATCACTGTATCACAGCTTTGTTCTCGCTTCTTGGTAACACCTTAGAATGTTGCTAAACATTTACCAGGGCATGCAAGTACCTGACTCCATTATTATGGGGGAAAAACAAAACAGGTATTCCTGGTGCCACATATAGTAGCATCTTATGATGTAATAGCAAAGGGCCCTTTTCATGCAAATATTTTAAGAGAGGACAAACTGAGACATTAGTGGATAAAGTGGCAAATAGTACATTTTATCACATTTTTACTTCTGATCATTAATTTGATAGCCTGAACACCATGATGTCATCAGGAGGGTCAAAGAATTCTGGCTGCCTCGCCAGATTTCCCCCTCTGCCCCCCCTCACTTCTATCCCACTTCAGGTGGGGGTTTTTTTTTTGCCCTGCTGTTAAGGAGTGATATGGTGATGCTGGCAGGCAGCTTCGAGGAAGGAAAATTGTGCTACTTCCCTCCATTTTTTCACCCAACACCAATGACTTGGATGGCAGCCGGTGCCTAGAATGCACCACCAGGCACCTGGTTTCCAGGATGTACCCCAGGGAAAGGGTTTCTAGCTTTGTGGTGGTGGTAAGTGCCATCAAGTCACAGCTGACCTATGGCAATGCCTTAGGGCTTTCAAGGCAAGAGACATTCGGAGGTAGTTCGCCATTGCCTGCCTTTGCGTCATGACCCTGGTATTCCTTGGAGGTCTCCCATCCAAATACTAGCCAGGGCTGACCCTGTTTAGCTTCCGAGATCTAACAAGATTGGGCTAGCCTTGGCTATCCAGGTCAGGGCTTTGCTTTATACCCGTCAACAAGAGCTGTCACTAGGTTCTTGGTTGCCGATGGTGTCATGGAGACTACATTGTGGAACCCAAATATTGTTTTCTCCATGCTCCCCCCAAAACCTAAACCTTGAACCCAGAAACTATAATTTTATGGTGTGAGAAATTTGTATTTTAAAAAGATTTGAATACCAGTCATTCATTAAGGTCGTTACGATAAGTCTTCACTGCTCCTTACTTTGGTTTAATGCCAGTTTAACTGCCATGGTTCCCCTTGAGAATCCTAGTACCTTTATTTTGTGGAGGGTGCAAAAATGCTGTTAAGAGATATTGATGCTACATATATACAGCATATACTACACTTCCCAGTGTTGCTGGAGAATAACTGCTTAATGACCTGAACAGAGTTACACCATTCTCAGTCCACTGAAGACAATGGGTTTAGAAGAGTACAGTTCTGCGAGATCATTGCCGTCAAGTCATAGCTGACTTACGGTGACCCTGTAGGATTTTCAAGGCAAGAGATGGTCAGAGGTGGTTTGCCATTGCTTGCCTCTGACCCCGGTCACACGGAGCATTAGGCACGCTAGAGAGATGGAAGATAGGCGGATTTTCCGGGCGCGATCTCACCGGCACATCTGGGAAGCATAGAGCTCCTGTGGCGCACCCAAGGCTTCCCGCTGAAGATGCGGGGTAAAAAACTAGTACCTCGGAGGTACTAGTTTCCGGAAACCGCGGGGCAAGGGCGGGCGTCTGATCGCGTTTCCGGTGGTAGTTCCGGCGCCCGCCCATGTCCCCTCGCAAAAAGGTCCCCCCCCCAAGTCTCCACGGATGCGCACAAGCACCCAACGGAGCATGCGCACATTTCAGTTTTAAAAACAAAACACAACCGTTTGCCACGCCGCTCCGCTTCTTTGCCACATCTGTGATCGGCACCTCCCTCCTAACCACGGGAGCTCGACGGGACCTCAACCCGATGCCTGATCGCGCAGTCGCGCGTTAGTTTGCTCCGGGGCAAACAGCCACGCCTCCCCCCCGCATTTTCCTGCCCGTGTGGCCGAGGCCATAGTGTAGCAACCTTGACTTCCTTGGTGGTTTCCCATCCAGTTACTAACCAGGGCTGACCTTGCTTACCTTCAGAGATCTGATGACATCAGGCAAGCCTGGGCCATCCAGGTCAGGGTATTTTATAGGTCCCTATTTGGCTGCTTTCAGCAACTGCCAGAGGCTATGCACATGGAACCTAATTAGAAAAAGAACAGTTGCACAGATGAGCTTGTCAAGGGTAACTGCCCATCCCCTGCTCTCCCTCCTGAACAGCAAATTGGACTTTTATTGATTTCCTAAGGGTTTTTCAAACAGGTTGGGGTGTGGATAGCAAGAAGAATGACATGCACACCATGCATTGTTCTTTATCCAGTTAAAGCCAACTGCCTCTGCAGTTTTACAGTGTTTTTAGGTAGCTTTAGGTAAAAAGAGATTATCCTAAATTAAGAGTTATACGTAAATGCTCATTTTTATGTACTCTGTTGTCCATTGGAGTTTAGTTTCAGTGCATGAAGTCTTCATTCAATCAGTGCCATTTGATGATGTAAACCACTTTGGGTCCCCCTTGGGGAGTAAGGCAGAATATAAATGAAGCAAATATATAATACTTGTCTCATTCAATGTATATCGTGAGCACACGTTTCAAGATATGGCCCTGTTAAAGTACTGTAACCCTAACCACATTATCCTCAGAGAACTGTACAGCACAACTTGAGATGTGCCTTATATGACTTAACATACTGCAGAAAGTGTTCGTATTTCCTGAAAAGTATTCATTTACTTAAATGGAAAGGCCCTAGGCTCACTCAGTTCTACAGTTTGAGAATGTTTTTTTTTTTTTTGTCAGTAAAATAATTGTAAACGTGGTGCTAAAATGTATACATAACCCCAAAGTGTTATGTTAGTGTACTACTGCATTTATAAAATGCTTTTAATACAGAACTACAGTTTTGGATTCCAGTTTAGCTTGTCACATGTTAGTAGCAAACTGTTTCTTAAATAGTTGTATTGTGTTCAGAAATGAAGAATGGCTATATTAAGTGGTACCTGTTATCATCATTGTCTTCCCTTTTATTCTGCTTTTGTGCTGTAATGATAGCATAGATCAAGTTAAGATTGAATCTGCACAGCACAGTTTTATCTTAGTATGCTTTAGTGCAATGTCATCTTTCGCACTGAATATAAACCAACCTAATGCATCTGCAAGGAGTTTCTGTGAATCATTATTTTAAGATTATGATTGCAGATGGGGCCTCAACAGCAAAGCGTAGAAAAAGTTCTGTGGGAATCAAAAGCTAGCTCACAGCTTTATTATTTTAGCAGGTCTTGGTAATGGGACCACTGTAACTTCCTGCTCAGCTAGTACTAAAATTACTTCCTAAAGTTAGCAGCAGAGCATATTAGTCATTTTGCTGTTAGCATTATAAGAGAGGGAGCATGGGTAAAGCAGTGCTGTCATGAAGGATTTGCAGCACTTGTCCCAAACAGCAGCCATTGTACTTGTCTGCATTATGGAGAGAAAGGAGACACAGTGGCCCTCTCCAGGAGCTTGGCTGGGACAAACTCCTATTTAGCTTCTCCCACCCCACAGTCTTCTCCTGGTACAGTCGTTGCCCCTTGTCCTACATAACTATTATGAGACATTATGAAACAGCTGGCTTTTGAATTTGCATACTTTCCCTCTCTTTTTCTATTTTTGTATCATGTCTATTGGATCGTGTCGTCATTTAAAATTCCAAAGCACTTTTAGGGCAATGGCAGAAATGATAAAAGCCAACCAATTTCTGCAAAGGCATATTTCAGCCCTCTCCCCCGACTCTTGTCTGTAAGAATTGGGCCGCCTAGTGACAAGGGATGTAAATGTGCCTCCTAGTAAGAGTAGATCCAATTGCAGTGAGGGGCAGTATTGCAACCATTCAGTACCCTACATAGGAGAAAGAAATGGGAGCACATTCCTAGATCTCTTTTTGGAGGGAGGCTAATCTTACCTTCATGACCCCCAGCTTATTCAGAATCAAACCTTCTCCTACTTCTCTATCTCCTTCCAGGTTCCATTTCTTAGGGGCATACCTGTACATGACACGGTACGGGGAACTAGCGTTTGGAAAGAATGCCTAACTTGTACCTAAGCCAAAGGTATTCGTGAATGACTACTTGCAGCAGAATATTGACAGGATATACATTCAAGTGGGCAGCCTACTGAAAGCAAGTGGGGGTAGATGAACAGCATCCACCCCCAGCTGTGCTTCTGAGTGTGGCAGATTTACATCTGCAGGCACTGATTCAGTGAGTCATATACAAAACAGCGGCCTGCCAACATGCTCAGACAATCACATCTGAATCAGAGCAAAATACTTTTCAAACCCATTATATTTTTTCACCTTTTGCGGGCTAGTTTTTTAAATACGGCAGAAAGTACAACTGGCCAATGCAAGGTTTCTCCCCCCCCCATTTGCAGTAAAAAACCAGAACTATGGATATGTGAAAGCAAGTGCTGAACCCACGCCAACTGTACACATGTATTTTAAACTAAATAAACAAGGTTTCATTTGCATGTGTTTAGAGACCTTTAAATACACTCACACATATACACATGCAGGGACCTGCACAACTCATGGGGGGCGGGGGAATCCTATCCTTTCTATTTTGCTTTTCTAGCCACCTGCCTGCAGGGTGGCTGCCTCTGGCTCCCATCCCTACCCATCCATCCTCACCACTCCTGCCCTCCCACCTCACCTGCCTGTCTGCATTGCCACAGCCTATGCGGGTCAGCAGCAGCATTCCCCACCTCCTCTGTCTTAGTGCAAAGATGCTGCCAGCTAATGGAGGCACAGAGTCTGCACAAGTGTTGTTCCCCTTTATGGGGGGTTACCCCCTCCATTTAAAAAAAATTATATTTTTCTGCAAACCTGGGGGTTCCCCTAGGTTTGTAGAAAAACCTGTTCTTTTTTTTTCTTGCTATCAAGTTGCCGCCAACTTATGGGAAACCTGTAGGGTTTTCAAGCAACAGACATTCAGAGGTGGTCTGCTGTTGCCTGCCTCTGCATAGGGACTCTGGTATTTCTTACTGGTCTCCCATCCAAATACTAACCAGGGCTAACCAGGCTTAGCTTCCGAGATCTGATGAGATCAGGCTAGCCTGGGCCATCCAGGGCAGGGCCTGTTCTCTCTACATGGCCCCAGTTCAAGTATTAAGATGGGGCCATGTTGCAAATTAGATATACTGACAAGCAGGAACTCGCAAGAAACTTGAGGGGAGGCACTCTATCCCCCAATTTTTGCTTTCTTTCCCCATCCCCCTTCCTTCCCAGTATCTCTGGGGGACCCACCTTAAAACCTGCTCAGTCACTCAGTGCAGCCCTGAGTCCTGCAAAAGGTGAATGGGAGCTTCTGCTTTCCCTCCCATGCTGTGGGAGCGAAGGCAGACAGAAGCCCTCCTCACCCCCATGCAGCACTTGGAGCCATGCCAAGTGAACATAAGAACATAGACAGTCAACCTTTATTGGCATGTAAGAGATAAAATAACATTAAAATTTAGGAATACATCAAAGGTATGGCTGTCGAACAGCCAACAAAAAAAGAACTGATCAATTAATAGTTTCCCTGGTTCGAATTACAGATTGAAGAAAACAAGCAACATTAAAAGTTATAGAAGCGTTTTGCCCAGAGAGTAGCAACTGGACCTTGATACTCTGAGGAAGACCACGCCATGTAAAAAGAAGGGTGTCCAGAAATTTTCCTTGAATCATAAGAACATAAGAGAAGCCAATGTTGGATCAGCCAATGGCCCATCCAGTCCAACACTCTGTGTCACACTGCGGCCAAATATACCAGGGGTATAGAAAAAGGAAAGTACCTAGATCATGTACAAAGAAAGTAAATGGAGTATTACACTCTCCAAAAAGCAGGGAGTACATGAACTCGGGCAACTCAGGACATAGAAAAGTCGACATCAGACAGGGAAAGCACATCCTATTACGCAAAGCAACCAACATTAATTACACAACAAGCCACATGATAGCCAAATCATTCACTTTTAAATGAGAATGTTATTTTATTTCTAGTTCTGTTACACAACATTTTAAATGAAGTATTGTGCACTAGCAAGTGATTCTGAAGTCCTTGACCTGAAGACTCATAAAACAATCCCTTAATTTTCTGCACAAACTTACTTCCTCTTGCTACAAGGAATTACTTCTCTAGACTGTAGAACTAGAAGACTTTGCTTAATACCAGGGCTACACCTCTTGTCAAGTCAAGTCAAGTCAAGTTTATTAGTACGGTCAAGCGACCAGCCAATAGAACGTTTCCAAGAATAATAAAATACACAATAAATCAAATATATATAAAACCTTTAAACGAATACAGGAACAATACAATATGTCATTGAAACACACCAATGCAACGCAAATTTGTCCTCAGATCACTATCTAAGGTATAAGCTTCCTCTTTTTAAGGGCCAGAAAGCAAAATTTTGCCACAGCTAAAGATATCCTCTCTATCCGGTCTTCCAGCAAAAAAGTTAAAATCCTCAGTTCCGCAATTTTCAACTGAACATCCAAGGGTTTGAATTTGGACAACAATGGAAAAATTAACAGCTGTCTCTCCATAGCATAAAAGTTACAATGTAACAATATATGTGAGACCGACTCTATTTCAAGATTTGTACACGGGCAACATCTTTGGGAACTAGGCCAGCGCCGAAACCTTCCTTGTAACAAGTTAGATGGCAGGGCATCAAAACGTGCTCTAGAAAAAACCCATCTATAGCTGTCATATATGATGTTAGAAAGATATGGAGCGGGGGCAAAACCTGTCCAGGATTTTAAGGCTTTATATCTTAAGGGTAAGAGCGCTTCTTCCGTCTGGACCTCTATATCTATTAGGCGTTGGGTTACTATAGATTTAGCTTTTGTCAATCCAAGCTCCAAAAGACTTGCAGGATGAAGCCCGATTGATCCAAGCTTGCCTAATATTTTGGAGGACCATTCAGGATATGGATTGGCAGCTAAAAAAGATGGAATTAGGCCTGTAGGCTTCAAGTGCGTTCTTAACCAATACAAAATTGAAGCAATCCAAATTTTTGTTTCTATTTTTGTCACCCCAATCTCCTGCCTAAGAACTACATTTGCTGTGCATTTAGGCGCATTAAATAATGCTCTAATAAATTTAGATTGAACTTTTTCCAGATCCTTAAAATTATTATCACTTAATGTAGTTACTTGCATACCATATGTGAGCTGGGTTAAGACCTTTGCGTCAAATAATTTCAGAGCCGCTAAAATTACACCTTGGCCCTCCTTCCTAAAAAATCTGATAATAGCATTAACATTTCTCTCAGCAGAACAGATTGTAGAAGTTATATGGGCTGAGGAGCTGCCATTATAGTTGAAGGTAACCCCTAAATACTTATATGTTTTTACTTGCTCTATAGAATGTCCATTTATTCTCCAAATATCTTTCTTATAAGCCCTGTTAAAACGAATAATCTTGGTTTTGGAGTAATTAATTGTTAATAATTCCTCATTACATTTCCTACTAAAGATTCTTAAGGCCCGTTTAAGACCAACTCTAGTTTGGGACAGTAAGATAGCATCATCTGCGTACATTACACCTCTTGTCTGAAACTGTGGTATGTTGTTATAACGGGGCCTTTGCTTCCTGAAATAATAATTAGTAGTCCTTTAAAATTAACTACTGACAATATGGAAGAATGCTTGAAAAAGCATGACAGTGTTTTCTATGTATGTACCTTGCTAACAACCATACATACAGTATGCTAATTCCATTGACTATATAGAATTGACAGCTGATCATATTATCTTAAGAAATGCCCCTAGAACAAATTACTGTTGAATGTATCTAGGAATTATTCTTGGACCTCCTCAGATTTTGCCTCCCTGAAGTCAGAAGCACATTTGAGAAGATATCCCTACACTGATTAGTCTTAGAGGACATTATCTCACAAAAGCATAAAGACTTTGTTCAAAACAAATATCAAACAGTAACAAGCCACTCCATGTATCCTACCAGGAAGAACCCATACATACATATGCATAAATAATCACACAGATTGTGCGTTCACAATTTAGACCCAGAATCAGTGCAAAGAAACCATACCCCGTCATGGAAAAGATGACTGTGAATGAACAACTGGACAGGTAAGGTAATAAACTACCAATTAGCACACAGAGGTGCCATAGTAGCAATTTCAGCAGATTAAAAGGCTACCCAACACATCGTTCATGAATGTTTAAAAGTCACACTTGAAAGTGTCTGGATTAAAGCAGATGATCTGGGAGATCTATGACTGGATTTCCTGATGATTGCAAGAGGCTGACTGCAGCGGCAAGGGGCCCAGCATAGCACAGAGTAAAGGGTTTTCAGTTTTGCTAACTGAATTTCGCCTCCCTGCCATTAACCCCGGAAAGGAAAAAAGAGGTTCCTTTCTATCTCCCTGTACTTTAAAGAAAGAACAGCAATGGGAGAAATGCTTTTGATTAGTGAAAGCATCCATTGGTGCAAGGATTAAGCCCACTGTCGCCAACTTCCAGATGGTTGATGGAGATATCCAGCTATTACAATTGATCTCCAAGCAACACAGATCAGTTCACCTGGAGAAAATGGGCTGCTCTGGAAGCTCCATGGTATTATACCCCACTTAAGTCCTTCCCCACCCTCCTCAGACTCCACCCCCCCAAAATTTCCAGGTATTTCTCAACCCAGAGCTGGCAACCCTAGTTAAGCCTCTTCTCCCAGTTTGAACTGAGTTCTTGCAGAGCTGCAATTGATGGGCAGCTCTTACCTGCTTTGACCTTCTGCTACTACTGAACTTAATTTGTAAAAACATACCATGTAAAATCCAGAATACTTCAGGCCGTTGTTTCTGCATCTGCATTTACAACCATGTTGTAAATGTATATGAACTATATAGTAATGGAAAGAATGTAATAAATATTGCCTTGATAGCAAGAACTAGATACCTGACATGAAAAGGAAAACAGTACACATCACACAAGAACAGAACACACAGACAATAAAATAAGTTTCCGTGGATCATCTCTCTGTTTTAATGCAACATACTCAAAACATGTTTACATACAGTGTCTCCTCTATGTACAAGCTATGCCTCAATACTTAATTGACACCACAAGGCTAAAGACTAATTTACATTCGCCTTGTAAATTCCATTTTATATTTCAGTCCAACAAACCCAGATTAAAAAAAAGATTAGTCTTCACTGAAACATATTGCATATCAGGACCTCAGACTTTGGGACCTGCCAAGCCGAAAACATAGCCTCCAGCTATGTGACGTAACAGCAGGCAACATATCTAGGAGGTTTATGGAACCCTAGTGGACTCAAGTTGGCTTGTGGGAACGTAAGTTGTACATTACATTTTATACACCGTTAAACATGCAAGTTTGCTATTTATTCCTACTGCCGTTGTACTCAGCATCTCACAATACAAACACGAAGTCCTGGAGGTTATCAACCGGTGGATATTTTCAGCCTTACATTTTCCCCAAATTGCCTTTAGATTCTGAAAGTTCAGACAAATAGCATAAATTGTTTAATAAGATGACGTAAATATTTATACCACTAAGTGTCACTGGTGGATTGCTGCTGTATCAGTGTTGTCAAAAATTCAAACAGTGATTACAACCAGATCAAGTTACAAGGCAGCATTAAGGCTTCTATGTAGTAAAAACAGAACAAATATTAATTAGATCATTTTATAGCCAAGTTATAAAGTCAGAACAATGCCACTAAAAGCCCAAGTAAATTATGGGGGAACCTTTCAGCATTTTGCTCAAGTTGATAATGTTTGTTAACTGAGTTTAATCTCCAAGGGGGTGAATAATAAGAGCTCACAGTATAAATTACACAGATGTTTGCTTGTAGTTTTTTGTATCCAAGACTTTCTTTCCACACATTGAGCAGATGCCTATTAGGAAAAAACACAGTGAAGTTAAAAACAAACCCCTGCTACTAATGCAATTGGCATAACAGTGAAATTATCTTTTTTTTTTGTAATTTCAGACTCTCCCAAACAAATGGAGCTCTATTTATTACATTTGTATCCCTTCATTCTCCTTCACGGAACTCAAGAGGTGGGGATCCTACATAAGGTTCCTATGAACTTTTCTGTCTCCTTAGACCTACACCTGCTAGGTTTTAGCAAGGCTCCTATCTACAGATGTAACATTTCTGAAAATTTGAAGCCACTGAAAAAACCATGAGGGTTTCCCCCCATTCCCCCCAAGAAGAAAACAGAAATTTTGGGGGAAATTGACATATATGCAATACTTACTGCCCTATCAAACCTAGACTAATTTTACTGCTTTCACAACATAAAATGCATCATTTATAACTTACCCAGCACATAAAATTGTAATATTTAATGTGTTTATATAATTTAAAAGTTATAAGCAAAACTGCAAATATAACAAATACTTGAGAGAAAACTGCAAGCTAATTTACCCTATGCTACCTTAGCACACATATACCTTAATTTTTGCTATCTGGCTAGAGAAAGCTAAGTTCTCAATGAAACTTTCAGTTTTCCTCTCAGGCTTTGGTAAAATTTCTGCCCCATCTCCTTATTTTTTTCTCTCCTGCAAGGTGGGGCAATAAGTTACTTTTTACCAAGTCTGTGGGTAAATGTGTCACAGTGGTTTCAGGAAGAGGTGAAACGGTCAAGCACATCAGGTCAAAAGGACAACAGAAAGCATGTAACTGCTGGGAAGCAATGAAAGCCTGCAGTCTCCCTTTATGAAGATTAGATATCCTTCTAGGTGCAGAAATGCATCTTGGATTTAACAGCTATATATGTCAACAGAACGTTTTAAAGAGCATTTCACTCATTCAAAAATATAAAATATTTCATAGTAGTTTTTCCAGTACTCCCCCAAATTTCCAATTTTTCCCCTCAGAATTTTTTTTTTAAAGTCTTGGGGGGAAAATGTTTCATTCTCTGAATTTTTCCAGCTTTTTTCCAGGCCTTCACATCTCAACTCCTATCAGGTACCTACCAACCATACCCTAGGACCAATGTGAAATTGAGCACGGCTAATGCAAGTCTTGGACAGCTACGGTGACAACTCAGCCTGGTAGTTCTACTCATCACAATTCAGTGAGAATTTGGCTCGCTTCATACGACAGAAAAAACAACCATATGAAATTTGTACCCTAAAAACTTTTCTATAGGTTCACAGATTGGCTACTACAACTGAACTGACCAAGAAATACATAGCAATAATATACAATATCACAAAACCTTCTACGTTTTCATGCAGTCATAGAAATGCTAACATCACTGGGAAGCACATAATCTGAAAACCTGCTTCAGAGACCACTGATGTCTATCTGAAAAGGGAGGATCTAAAATTTAACTTCTGCATTATACAGTATGCATGGTAGGGTTGCCAGGTCTGAGTTGGAGAATGCCTGGAGACTTTGGGGGTGGATCCAGGAGAGGGTGGGGTTTAAGGAGGGGAGGGGCCTCAGCATGGTACAATGTCACAGAGTCCACCCTCCAAAGCAGCTATTTTCTCCAGGGGAGCTGATCTCTGTCAGTTGGGGATCAGTTGTAAAAGCCGGAGATCTCCAGGCCCCACCTGGAGGCTGACAACCCTAATGCATGGATATAAATATAGAAAACAACACCATGACCCAGACTCCGAGATGGGGGAGCACACTTGCTGAGTTACAGACATATTTTCTATGCATACTGCTGCACTCTGTAGCATGAAAAAATTTCATTTTTTGTATTGGAATATTGAGAGACAGCCAGATTACTGGTAACTTTAGTTCTTGGTGTACAAACAACTTACTCATTGTAGCTAGTAAGAAAACAAATGAAAGGAAAGTATGTCAAATGCCTCACCCTTTTTGTAAGCGCAACCCTGGCAGTAGTGAGAGCCTGGCTGGTGAACTGAACTTTTACAAATTCGGCATATTGCAAACTTGTTTTTGCCGTAAGGATCAAATCTAGAAAGACCAACAACAAAAGAACAGGAACATGAATTATCTATTTTATAGAACACATGAAGTATCCCTATTTACTTTTGCAAAATTGGTGGGGGCAAGAGCAGAAGTGAAAAGGAAAAGATAAAAGTGACTAATAATGAAATCCAAAGAAATTTCCTAGTTACATCTGCATAAAGACAATTAAATGTTGTTCTTCACTTTAGATTTACTGAAAATTTGAAGCTGGCTTGCACATCATTATATTTATACACAAGATGTTTCCCAAGAATTTTCTTGTCACCTCACTTTTGCAAATGGGTAAAATAACCCACAGGACCTATGCAAATGATATATTGTAAAATGTTTTCAAAATCAAAAGTGGTAGATTAGCGACTGACGTCTAAACTACTTGCCAATATTGCCTTTCATTTCTGCCCTGCTACATCATGCTTGGAGGATTTAAGACAAAAACAGAAAGATGATGCATGGCCTCTCCCCCCCCCCTCACCACACCACTGCTGTTTGGCTTGCTGCCATTTTAGCCACTGCTGTTTATCTTTTTTGACAGCTACTCTAGCCACACAACCCCATATCCATTGTTCCATTCCCTCACCAATGCTGAGTGCACATGTAAGTAGGCCAAGCAGTGAGGTTACGTGCCAGGACATGTGGGTCACATATGGGGAGGAGAGGCCATGCTGAAGGAAAGGGGCAGGAGAAAGAAGCAGCAAGTCAAAATATGGATGGCGGCTACAAGCATGGACGGCTTCAAAAGGGAATTAGATAAGCATATGGAGCAGAGGTCCATCAGTGGCTATTAGCCACAAGGTATAGATAGGCAAGTGATGCTCTGGGGCAAGTGATGCTCTGTCTTCTTGGTGTTTGGGGGGGTCAACAGTGGGAGGGCTTCTAATGTCCTGGCCCCACTGGTGGACCTCCTGATGGCACCTGGTGTTTTTGGCCACTGTGTGACACAGAGTGTTGGACTGGATGGGCCTTTGGCCTGATCCAACATTGGCATCTCTTATGTTCTTATGCAACGGCTGTGTTGACAGTATTCATGGGGTGAAGGAAAAGGTGGGGAAAAGTCCCCAGGACAGCTAATGTGACCCAAAGAAATGTAAGAGAGGATAAGGACAAAGGAGAGCCAGGAGACAGGGGAGGGGAAAAGTTCCTTCCATTCAGCCCTGACCTGAATGGCCCAGGCTAGCCTGATCTCGTCAGATCTTGCAAACTAAGCAGGGTCGGCTCTGGCTAGTATTTGGATGGGTGACCTCCAAGGAATGCTAGGGCTGTGACACAGAGGCAGAAATGGCAAACCACTTCTGAAATGTCTCTTGCCTCAAAAAAATAAGTCTAGCTTACCACCTAGTGGTAAATAATGCAAAAGAACTAGAACTTCTGGCTGCCAGACAATCTTAGACTCTCCTGGCTATACTACACACAATGCCATACAATAAGTATTAATTGTTATTAGTTTTGTTCAGTATTTGTTCCTATTTTTACTAGGTATAGGACAACAATTACCTTGCCTTCTTTGATGTCAATGCCTTATTTTCATTTAGTTTTCGTCCACCACTTTCTATAAAACAAAAAACAAGTTAACACAAACTTGCAACAGATTTATTTAAGGCAATGTAAAGGTAACACAGATGTTCCCCCAAAGAGACATGCAAATGTGCAAGCTGTCTACACAGAGGAAGCTCGCTTACTGACAATATTTCTACGCTGCCTTTCCAAGAAGTTCTGGTATCTGACACGCTACATATGTGGAAATTGAAGGTGGTGTAGCACAGAGGCAAACTACACCTCAGGACTGAAGCCAGAAGCAGCGTATTTGCGAAACATGCAGACCAGTCCTCAAAAGAAGAAATGTATAGACCACTGATGTGCTTAAAGTTTTCCAATTATGTAAGAAACTAAGACTATTTATGCTCCAGAGAGCCTTGCACTCTGCTGGTCAGGATCTGCTCGTTGCCCCCGGTCCGGTCCAAAGGATGCCCGCTTAGCCTCGAGCAGGGCCAAGGCATTTTCTGCCCTGGCCCCAGCCTGGTGGAACAGGCTCCTGTCTGAGATAAGGCCCTGTGGGACTTATTACGATTCCACATGGCTTGTAAAATGGACATATCCCGCCAGGACTTTGGCTAAGGCAGCGGGCATCCAATTAAACAAAACTGGCCTCCCCCTGCTGAAATCTTATTCTATTTTTTAATTTATTATTATATTTTTACCCCGCCCTCCCCGCGATCGGGCCTAGGGCGGCTCACAAAAAGGGCACGATGTGCCAATATAAAACAGTAAAAACACCTAAAACACATAAAAACAACTATTATCAAAATAAAGTGCTCAACGGTGTTATTAAAGCACTAGAAATAATGCCCGTTGCAGAAATAAATACAACGGGATCTAGAAAGAGGCTCTGGGAGACTGCTCTGGCTTTGGGCAAACAGTGTCAGTTTCCTGTGGCGACCTCAGCAGGGTTTAATGACAGAGTCCACTGTTTTCTCCAGAGGGACTGATCTCTGCTACCTGAAGAGCATTTGTATGTTTGAGTTATCTGTAGCCCTCACCTGGAGAGTGGTAACCATTGTTACCCATTCTCCTCTCCCCTATGAGGTATGTTATGCAACTGAAAACCCCAACTGCCTTGCG